ATCTCCCTCGATCTGGGGCTCCACGCAAGATCTCACCCCGTGGGGTCAAAATGATCACAAGAACGGTGAGCAAAAATCCCTGAACCACACGGGGGGACATAGTGAATGACCTGCAGAGAGCTGGGACCAAAGTAACAAAGCCTACCATCAGTAACACACTACGCCGCCAGGAACTCAAATCCTGCAGTGCCAGACGTGTCCCCCTGCTTAAGCCAATACATGTCCAGGCCCGTCTGAAGTTTGCTAGAGTGCATTTGGATGATCCAGAAGAGGATTGGGAGAATGTCATATGGTCAGATGAAACCAAAATATAACTTTTTGGTAAAAACTCAACTCGTCGTGTTTGGAGGACAAAGAATGCTGAGTTGTATCCAAAGAACACCATACCTACTGTGAAGCATGGGGGTGGAAACATCATGCTTTGGGGCTGTTTTTCTGCAATGGGACCAGGACGACTGAACCGTGTAAAGGAAAGAATGAATGGGGCCATGTATCGTGAGATTTTGAGTGAAAACCTCCTTCCATCAGCAAGTGCATTGAAGATAAAACGTGGCTGGGTCTTTCAGCATGACAATGATCCCAACCACACCGCCCGGGCAACGAAGGAGTGGCTTCGTAAGAAGCATTTCAAGGTCCTGGAGTGGCCTAGCCAGTCTCCAGATCTCAACCCCATAGAAAATCTTTGGAGGGAGTTGAATGTCCGTGTTGCCCAGCGACAGCCCCAAAACATCACTGCTCTAGAGGAGATCTGCATGGAGGAATGGGCCAAAATACCAGAAACAGTGTGTGAAAACCTTGTGAAGACTTACAGAAAACGTTTGAACTGTGTCATTGTCAACAAAGGGTATATAACAAAGTATTGAGAAACTTTTGTTATTGACCAAATACTTATTTTCCACCATAATTTGCAAATAAATTCATTAAAAATCCTACAATGTGATTTTCTGGATAATTGTTTCTCATTTTGTCTGTCACAGTTGACGTGTACCTATGATGAAAATTACAGGCCTCTCTCATCTTTTTAAGTGTGAGAACTTGCACAATTGGGGGCTGACTAAATACTTTTTTTCCCCACTGTATACCATCCTCCTCCCTTACCTCGTCAATGAAAATTCCATAGGCCTCTACATTATGGACAAGGTATGTGTATGAAAACCATTATGAAAACAGTTTTTTTCATTCACATTTACCACAAAAACCAAGGTATGAATACTGTTGTATGCATGTTTTGTTAAACATTTACATTTTTAGTCATTTAGCAGACGCTCTTATCCAGAGCAACTTACAGGAGCAAGTAGGGTTAAGTGCCTTGCTCAAGGGCACATTGACAGATCTTTCACCTATTCGGCTCAGGGATTAGAACCAGCGACCTTTCGGTTACTGGCACAACGCTCTTAAACACTAAGCTACCTGCCGCCCCTGTATAATTACTATTACTAAACATCTGTATAATTACTATTTTTGGGATTCACAGACTTCACCCTGCCTACACCTCTGATGAATATAACAGGAAACCTGTTCAATCACCATACACTGCAAAATCTTTATGGCTATGGATACAGAGAACATCAACACATTAACATCAACTTGCCAGAGGAAATACCCATTGGACTTGGGGCTCTGCTGGGAGTTGACCTCATATTTGGATTTATTTATTCTGCTTTGCCACTAAAATCATAATAAACACTGACAACTAAAATATTGTGTTATTGTTGTTATTGTTATGCGTATTATTATTAATATTATTAATTAATAATAATAATAGGGGAGGGGGGTAGTTCAAACATTAACCCCAAAAGGTTCTTCAAAAGGTTCTTTGAGGATCCTGTTAGGCCTACTGCTGCTAGGTAGCTCTCTCTCTGCTCTCCCCCTCCCCTCTGTCTGTCCTTGATTGCAGGAGTGAAGTCTGGTGTGCGGGAGTCAGGGTTCCAGCTGCAGCTCATTCACCATAATCACCTCAGCCTTTAAGACCCGGTCAAACTTTCCACTCATCGTCAGATCATAGTCAAGACGACCATGTTAGTCTCGCTGCCGACTCAACCTGTTTGTTTTCGCTCTTTGTGTTTTTGGCCTGTTCTATTTACTTTTCTCCTGTGCCACAGATTATGGGAACCTGACTTCTGCCTCCGCTTCACTCCTGCCACCACCATCCTGCTCCCCACTACCGGACCTCCCTTTTGGACTCACCACGGACACTAGGACATTACGGTACCACACCTGCCCTGACCTGGATCTGTTACACTCCCTGTAACCTGGACTTGCTCTTCCCCTATTATTGGAAACCTGGACCTTTTTGAACATTGTAAATAAACCTGTTAAACCTTCTCTGGCTTGGTGTACTTGTCTGCATTTGGGTTCTATCCAGTTAAATCATGACAGATCCATTAAAAGCAGTTCTTTGAAGAACCCTTTTAAAGGGTTCTTTGAAGAACTTATAGGGGTTCCCCCACAGTTTCAATTTGAAGAACCCCTAAAGGATCTTCCAGGAACCTTTACTTTTTAGAGTGTAGATTATTATTATTTCGTAATGAAACATGCATTCAAAACGCAGAGCTTTTTAGCGGTTATTGAAATGGCATATTCACTGCAGTTTACAGCCTAGACTACAATTCTTTACTCACTAGAAAAAATAAAGAAAATGCATTATTGCATTGTGTTTCTCTAGCCTAGGTATGATAATTTTTTGTCCCTAAAAAGCTTAATCAATTGGGGTAGTGGCGATTTTTAGCATGTAAATCTTGGTGGGAGAAACTGAACCAATTTGTTTAGATACATGCCAGCAAAGCCACTGCACAACATTTTATTATTTTAGTAGGCCTATGTGGTCTAAAAAGGAAGGACATTTTATTTTTCTCCACTTTTTTAGACAATATACCCGCGCACAGACAGCGCATTGCGCAAACAAAACAAACCTCACAATATCAACTGGAATTACATGGGTCTGTTACTGAACTTTATGTTTGGGAAGAGTACCTTATGATAAGCTGTAGACCACACTATCTACCAAGAGAGTTTTCATCTATATTATTCGTAGCCGTCTATTTACCACCACAAACCGATGCTGGCACTAAGACCGCACTCAATGAGCTGTATAAGGCCATAAGCAAACAAGAAAATGCTCATCCAGAAGCAGCGCTCCTAGTGGGCGGGGACTTTAATGCAGGCAAACTTTAATCCGTTTGACCTAATTTCTACCAGCATGTCACATGTGCAACCAGAGAGAAAAAAACTCTAGACCACCTTTGCTCCACACACAGAGACGCATACAAAGCTCTCCCTCACCCTCCATTTGGCAAATCTGACCATAATTCTATCCAGTGACTTGCTCAATATGGAAGTGACGCGGATGCTACGCTACAGGACTGTTTTGCTAGCACAGACTGGAATATGTTCCAGGATTCATCCAATGGCATTGATGAGTATACCACCTCAGTCATCGGCTTCATCAATAAGTGCATCGACGACATCGTCCCCACAGTGACCGTACGTACTGTACATATCCCAACCAGAAGCCATGGATTACAGGCAACATCGAGCTAAAGGCTAGAGCTGCCGCTTTCAAGGAGCGGGTCGCTAATCCGGACGCTTATAAGAAATCCTACTACGCCCTCAAACGAACAATCAAACAGGCAAAGCACCAATACAGGATTAAGATTGAATCCTACTACACATGCTCTGACGCTGAATGGGAAGAGACTTTCACTGGCAAACATGGTTACAGACCCAACAACATTATATAGTATCCCCTCCTCGTGAAGAAAAGCACATGAGCTAATTATAATACACAAATAAGCAAAACAATGAAATCATTCATGAATAAGATAGACCTATATAAGCAATATAACAATTGAGATGTACAAACTATGGCATAAGGGAAGGATGAGCGGATAAGAGGCAAGCCGTAATTTTGATTAAGACATTAATGAGCGAGTAGTCCACATACTTTTGGTCATGTAGTGTAACTGGCTTATAAAATTAATAGGACTAAATCTCCTCAATAGTCCTTAGCCACTCACCATCAATGCTTTTCTATTAGAGCATTTAAGCCACATCTTTTCTTACTGTCTACAGTCCACCTTACCCAAGCTTTACCCTAGTTTACGTTTAGCCCTATTATTGCTTGTTGTTAGCTATCCCTGTGGTGTCCATGGGAATGACGGCTTGGCGTATTGAGATTTTGTTCCTCTATCCTTGGACTGTGTCCTGGCCATCTGGACCTCATTATGTCTGATCTTTGCCCAATCCCCTATTGTCTAACCTCTGCTGTTGGACCGGTGCAGCCATGTTGGACCTGCTGGTTGGACCTGCTGGGAGCCAGGTTATGGAAGCAGCACTCAAAGGTTGTGTCCCAAATGGCACCCTATTCCCTATTTAGTGCACTACTTTTGACCTTGTCAAAAGTAGTGCACTATGTAGGGAATATAGGGCACCATTTTGGGACGTTACCAAAGCGTATTTTCTACACCGTTAAAGCACCAGTCCCCAGCAGATGGATGAATCCATCTCAAAATAATCCCACACACCAGGATTTTCAAAACCTTGCTTCACAGATATGATCTATGATTTGAGATTCAATACTGCATGATTTCACAAGTCAAAGAGCCTGAATGAATAGTATTGAGGAATGAACAATGAGAGCCCACTGCTAAGCTTAGAAGCACTGATCTACACTTATCAAAATCATATGGCATTGGTTGTATAGATCAGAGCTGGCAAGAACAGTGGAGCACTCAAGGGGAATATAAACCTTTTGCCTGGAGAGTGTATTGTACTCAAGAAAGTTTCTCCACCAAAATAATCCCTTACATCAAGATGGAGAGTTATGATAATTTGAAACGAAATAAGTGATTTTCTTCTTGGCAACAAATAATTTGTCTTGCAGCATATACACACTGTACCAGAAAATTAGATCAAGTGCAAAGAACATAATGAGTATATTATACACACACAATAGAACATGGAGCAACTGTTTTGAGAATGGAGTGAAATAGCTTACCTTTTAGATGTATTTTATTTTCAGGACTGTGTACCAAGACAGAGCTAACAGAATCAAGGCTGTCATAGTTACTGCATCCAAGGGGCCCGGTCCTAGTTTCTGTTACCTAGGAAACAAGGAGATATTTTAATGCCTTATTAGGCCTACTGGTGAATCATGTACCTGGTTGTTAGGTTGTCTAACACATAGAAATATAATTAATAGTCAATGCCGGCATAATGGGTGGACCTATGCCAGGAAGTAAAAGCTATGTTGAAGATGAAATATATTTTCGACCTGAGTAAAAGCTACAATAAGTTGAAGATGGGAAGGTTAAGACAACGTAATAATTCCATGCGGAAGCGTTAAAAATAAACATTCATGGGACCAGCGGTCAGGTAATCCAGTAAAAAGTGGCTGTTAATAAATGAATAGAATGTCATTAAAGCAGTTGAGTAGTTAGCTGAAGTTCACTACGATTGTGTTTACTTTCCACTTTGATGGCAAACTTTCTGTGCTACTACCATTCACTCCCAGTCATTCCGAATGTAGAAGCTGGTCCCTTGTTGAATAGTGGCGCAAAGAGTTATGGGATATTAGAATCCTCTTGTCTTAACCTGTATATCAAAGACAATATTGTATGTGATGGTTTGTATAAACCTTGCTGTCTGCCTGTCCGACCTCGGAAACTATGTTTCATGTTAAAAATGCGATCTCACCCCTATACAGAGAATGCTATGTCTGCCTCGTCCCGCTGCGTCGTCCATTATTTCGAAGGTAATGTACAGAACGTCTGTGTTTATCCCTTACATAGAAAAGCTATGAAAACAGATACAAATTGAGCAATTTTGACCAGTAAATTATGTTTTACATTGGCAAATGTTGTGGTGTCACTTTGACCTCATAATATCTCACCCATAGATGCGGTAAAGAAGTCAATGGAACTCGACCCAAACAATGGAAATGCCATGGAAACACGTGGGGGAAAGATCCCAAATCTCCTCATTGCCCCCCAGCAACATTAGTTACATTTAGGCTATTGTTTAGATATGTATTTTATTTACATTTTTTATTTTTAACCTTTATTTAACCAGGTAGGCCAGTTGAGAACAAGTTCTCATTTACAACTGCGACCTGGCCAAGATAAAGCAAGGCAGTGCGATAAAAACAACAATAACACAGAGTTACACATGGGATAAACAAAACATACAATCAATAACACAACAGAAAATCTATATACAGTGTGTGCACATGTAGTAAGTTATGGAGGTAAGGCAATAAATAGGCCATAGTGCAAAATAATTACAATTTAGTATTAACACTGGAGTCATTAGCAGCAGTGAACTGTAAGGAATGGCGCCCAAAGGAGGTGTTGGCTTTGGGGATGACCAGTGAGATATACCTGTTGGAGCGCATACTACGGGTGGGTGTTGCTATGGTGACCAATGAGCTAAGATAAGGCTGGGATTTGGCTAGCAGAGATTTATAGATGACCTGGAGCCAGTGGGATTGGCGACGAATATGTAGTGAGGGCCAGCCAACGAGAGCGTACAGGTCACAATGGTGGGTAGTATATGGGGCTTTGGTGACAAAACGGATGGCACTGTGATAGACTACATCCAATTTACTGAGTAGAGTGTTGGAGGCTATTTTGTAAATGACATCGCCGAAGTCAAGGATCGGTTGGATAGTCAGTTTTACGAGGGCATGTTTGGCAGCATGAGTGAAGGAGGCTTTGTTGTGAAATAGGAAGCCGATTCTAGATTTAACTTTGGATTGGAGATGCTTAATGTGAGTCTGGAAGGAGAGTTTACGGTCTAACCAGACACCTAGGTATTTGTAGTTGTCCACATATTCTAAGTCAGACCCGCCGAGAGTAGTGATTCTAGTCGGGTGGGCGGGTGCAAGCAGCGTTCGATTGAAGAGCGTGCATTTAGTTTTACTAGTGTTTAAGAGCAGTTGGAGGCTACGGAAGGAGTGCTGTATGGCATTGAAGGTCGTTTGGAGGTTTGTTAACACAGTGTCCAATGAAGGGCCAGATGTATACAAAATGGTGTCGTCTGCGTAGAGGTGGATCTAAGAGTCACCAGCAGCAAGAGCGATATCATTGATATACACAGAGAATAGAGTCGGCCCGAGAATTGAACCCTGTGGCACCCCCATGGAGACTGCCAGAGGTCCAGACAACAGGCCCTCCGATTTGACACATTGAACTCTATCTGAGAAGTAGTTGGTGAACCAGGCGAGGCAGTCATTTGAGAAACCAAGGCTATTTAGTCTGCCAATAAGAATGCGGTGGTTGACAGAGTCGAAAGCCTTGGCCAGGTCGATGAAGACGGCTGCACAGTGCTGTCTTTTATCGATCGCGGTTATAATATCGTTTAGGACCTTGAGCGTGGCTGAGGTGCACCCATGACCAGCTCGGAAACCAGATTGCATAGCGGAGAAGGTACTGTGGGATTCGAAATGGTCGGTGATCTGTTTGTTAACTTGGCTTTCAAATACTTTCGAAATTCAGGGCAGGATGGATATAGGTCTGTAACAGTTTGGATCTAGAGTGTCACCCTCTTTGAAGAGGGGGATGACCGCGGCAGCTTTCCAATCTCTGGGGATCTCAGATGATACAAAAGAGAGGTTGAACAGGCTAGTAACTAGCGCAGTGGTCTAAGGCACTGCATCGCAGTGCTAGCTGTTGTGGGTTCAATTCCCACATGCCAGGGTTGTGGGTTCAATTCCCACGGGGGGCCAGTATGAAAAATAAAAACAATAATGTATTCACTCACTAACTGTAAGTTGCTCTGGTAAGAGCGTCTGCTAAATATGTAAATGTAGTAACGGGGGTTGCTACAATTTTGGCGGCTAATTTTAGAAAGAAAAGGTCCAGATTGTCTAGCCCAGCTGATTTGTAGGGGTCCAGATTTTGCAGCTCTTTCAGAACATCAGCTATCTGAATTTGGGTGAAGGAGAAGCGAGGGGGGGGGGGATGGGCAAGTTGCAGCGGAGGGTGCAGAGCTTGTGGCCGGGGTAGGGGTAGCCAGGTGGAAAGCATGTTGAGGTAAAAATCAGAGTATAATGCTTGCATGGATGTCAACCCCAATACATGTTCATGTCATCGTCACCAATCAACTGCATTGCAGTTAAAAATGGCTTTGACTACCACCACCGATTTCTGTATGCTAGCTATGCTATCAGCTTATACGAACAGGAGTTAGCATTAGCAGTCACTTCTTCTAAACCTGAAAAGGAATAACTTCTAAATGTTATGCAGCGAAAACAGTCAAATATATCATAATCGTACTTTAGTAACCAAATTGTGGGCCTGTTACAATACCTCAATCATGACGGATTTGACAAATATTAACTTTGTTAGATCAGATTTGTTGGATGTGTGCCAATCCGGCGACCTCTTTCTATCCCCCACGGTCTGCATTCCAATTGACGTCTTTACCGCATCTATCAATATAAACCTCCCTTGCAAATCTCCTTCCAAATCTCCCTCGCAGTTATGTAAGAGTACATTTTATTTCTTGTCAATGAAATGCTGCCAGTGAGCTACAATACTCAGTAAATAAGGTGTTTTACAGATGATTCATTGTAAAATATTGTTTTTCAATCGACCCTTGTCAAACAATATGAAGTCAGTGCAGCACTACATGCTATGCATTGTGGACTATACTGCATTCCACATACTGTGATATTTTCCAACTAAGTTGAAGTACTTTATGGTCCCCCTGCATTACGTAAGATAATATATTTCATTCCTCCTCCAGAAGTTTCATTGCAACCACAAAGCCTAAAGGCATGTACGCAGGCAGGTCAAGCACATCCCACTCTCTCATGGATGATTAGCTCAGTTGGCAGAGCATTGAGGAGTAGGTTGCTCACATACTAGAGATGATAATTTAGCAAAAATGTAACCAGCAGCTTCTCGTCTTGAAGCACTGCAGGGCTGAAGCCAGGTATTTGCAGAGTTCTTCATATGAGTTTTTACCTATCTGTCCTATAACATACACTGAGTGTACAAAACATTAGGAACCCCTTCCTAATATTGAGTTGCACCCCCCTTTGCCCTCAGAACAGCCTCAATTCGTCGGGGCATGGACTATAAGGTGTCGAAAGCATTCCACAGGGATGTTGGCCCATGTTGACTCCAATGCTTCCCACAGTTGTGTCAAGTTGGCTGGATGTCATTTGGGTGGTGGTGGTGGACCATTCTTGATACACACAGGAAACTGTTGAGCGTGAAAAACTCAGCAGCATTGCAGTTCTTGACACACTCAAACCGGTGCGCCTGGCACCTACTACCATAGCCCGTTCAAAGGCACTTAAATATTTTGTCTTGCCCATTCAACCCTTGAGTAGCTAGGGTTCCATCCAATTGGCGGCAGATTTTCATGCAAATATTATAAAATCTGCATGAAGAAAATAACGCATTTTCCCACTAGTGGTGTGTTTCCACCAAACTGAAAAAGTTTACTTCGATATGATGGTTATTATATCAATATTTGCACATAAAGGAATTTCCATCTCCATTTCTCGCATAATTAATTTTATAGACTCAAAAAGATCCCACCATGTCAAACAAACAAATTATCTGTCGGCATTTATAAAATTGTATAGACACTTCCTGTTTCCATCACAGTTGTCATGATTGTTTTTATACGGTATGACTTTACTCGCATAAAAACTGTGGATGGAAATGCGGTTAATGGCACACATACACAATCCATGTCTCAGTCGTCTCAAGGCTTAAAAATCTTTAATCCTCTTCTTTAATTAACCTGTCTCCTCCCCTTCAGCTACACTGATTGAAGTGGATTTAACAGGTGACATCAATAAGGCATCATAGCTTTGACCTGGATTCCCCTTGTTAGTCTATGTCACGGAAAGAGCCGGTGTTCCTAATGTTTGTATACTCAGTGTAGTTCAAAACACTGATTCCTGGTGCTTAATCGGACCTGACAGCTAATGTTATTTAGACAGTCCTGCAGTTAGCTAACATACATACAGCTAGTACAGCCCATTGTGAAACTTTCGGACAAATATGAAGGTACCAGTCCTCTGTGAAATGCTAATGGTAACTCTATAGACTTGACCAATAATCACACAGTCCAAACAGCGCTATTGAAGTAGATTAAATTAAATGTATTTCAATCAATTAAAGTAGATCAAGCTGTAAACATACAGTATAGAACTGCTACTGGGATCATGTCATATTGTTATCATTATCTTTATATTTTGCTCTCGGTGTAGTCTACGGCCAAACCTACTCACAATATCTTGAGGATATCTTAAGTGTCATAACATATAATTACATTTTAGTCATTCAGCAGATGCTCTTATCCAGAGCGACTTACAGTTAGTGAGTGCATACATTTTCATACTGTTCCCCCGTGGGAAGCGAACCCACAACCCTGGCGTTGTAAGCGCCATGCTCTACCAACTGAGCTACACGGGATTGTACTGTATGTAGTCATGACTGTCAAGTGTACCATTGGTCAAATGGGACATTTGTCCTCTAGACGTAACTAGACGGTTGGGGAACACAAGACACAATTTGGTAACAGAGAACAACTTACCCCACACGGTATGTAGCTTCACAGGTAAATATCTAGAAAATAAAGGACTCTAAAATAAACTGCAACACATTTGTCTATTTAAAGAACACTATGAATGACTAGCTGACCAGGATGTTGTCTAAATAATGTAAAGTCTGATCATTAAAAAGCCTAAAATACCCCACTTGAATCTAATAGGCTAAATGGAACACCACTACAGTACTAGCGTTATGGCTCTTTCTGCTTGATTTAAAGAAAAAAACATCTGAGGCCTCCCGAGTGGCGCAGCGGTCTAAGGCACTGCATCGCAGTGCTAGAGGCGTTACTACAGACCCGGGTTCGATCCTGGGCTGTATCACGACTGGCCGTGATCGGGGGTCCCATAGGGTGGCGCACAATCGGGTTAGGGGAGGGTTTGGCAGGGGTGGCTTTACTTGGCTCATTGCGCTCTAGCGACTCATTGTGGTGGGCCGGGTGCCTACAAGTTGACAGTTTAACTGTGTTTCCTCCGACACATTGGTGCGGGTGTTAAGAGGACGCATGACTCGACCTTCGCCTCCTGAGCCTGTTGTGGAGTTGCAGCGATGAGACAAGATCGAAATTGGGGAGAAAAAAGCGTCTGAAAGGCTTTCTATGAGTCACAGCACAACATGCTGACTCTCCTCTGTTCTCATCCACCTTGATATACTATATATACAGAAAGTGTGTGGACAAGAACTGTTTGTCGGGAGATTCATTAAATGGGATTCCATGGCCGAGCAGCCGCACGCAAGCATAAGATCACCATGTGCAATGCCAAGCATCGGCTGGAGTGGTGTAAAGCTCCCCGCCATTCGACTCTGGAGCAGTGGAAACGCGTTCTCTGGAGTGATGAATCACGCTTCACCATCTGGCAGTCCGACGGACTAATCTGTGTTTGGCGGATGCCAGAAGAACGCTACATGCCCCAATGCATAGTGCCAACTGTAAAATTTAGTGGAGGAGGAATAATGGTCTGGGGCTGTTTTTCATGGTTCAGGCTAGGCCCCTTAGATCCAGTGAAGGGAAATCTTAACGCTACAGTATACAATGACATTGTAGATGATTCTGTGTTTCCAACTTTGTGGCAACAGTTTGGGGAAGGAACTTTCCTGTTTCAGCATGACAATGCCCCCGTGCACAAAGCGAGGTCCATACAGAAATGGTTTGTCGAGATTGGTGTGGAAGAACTTGACTGGCCTGCAGAGGGCCCTGACCTCAACCCCATCGAACACCTTTGGGATGAATTGGAACCCCAAAATCAGTGCCCGACCTCACTAATGCTCTTGAACTGAATGGAAGTAAGTCCCCGCAGCAATGATCCAACATCTATTCGAAAGCCTTCCCAGAAGAGTGGAGGCTGTTATAGCAGCAAAGGAGGGACCAACTCCATATTAATGCCCATGATTTTGGAATGAGATGTTTGACAAGCAGGTGTCCACATACTTTTGTCATGTAGTGTATATCTGCTGCCTTCGACACCATGAACCATCAGATCGCTGTTTATTATCTATGCATAGTCACTTTACCCCTTCCTACATGTACGGATTACCTTGACTAACCTGTACCCCACACATTGACTCAGTACCGGTACCCCCTGTATAAAGCCTCGTTATTGTTATTTTATTGTGTTACTTAATTATTTTATGAACTTTTTTTTTAGTAAATATTTTCTTAACTCTATTTTCCTAAACTGCATTGTTGGTTAAGGGCTTGTAAGTAAGCATTTCACGGTAAGGTCTACACCTGTTGTATTCAGTGCATGTGACAATTTGATTTGATCCTCCTCTCCACCCTCTCAGGGCTGCGTGTCTCAGTCTCTGCACACTTCTGGATTGCATCCTACCCAGCAGGTCGCTCCTACCAGGTGGTGTGGAGAGGATCTGTGTCTGCACCACATGCTCTCACTACTGGTGTCCCCCAGGGCTCGGTTCTAGGCCCTCTCCTCTTTTCTCTTGACTCACTCCTGAAGATTCATGCTCTATAACATCCGTAGGAAGCGGTGCAGGTACTAGTCATCTCCCATCTAGACTACTGCAACCCTCTTTTGGCTGCACCTTATCCAGAACATCACAGCACGCCTGGTGTTCAATCTTCTCAAGTTCTCCCATGTCACCCCGCTCCTCCGCACACACTCCACTGGCTTCCAGTCTAAGCTTGCATCATTTTCAAGTCCCTGGTGCTTGCCTACAGAGCAGCAAGGGGAACTGCCCCTCCCTACCTTCAGGCTATGGTCAAACCTTTCCCCTGAACCTGAGCACTCCGTTCTGCCACATCTGATGTCTTGGCACTGGGCAGTTCCCTTTCAAACTGTCAAAGCTCTTCTTTCTCTGTCCTGCAACTCCAAAGGTGAAACAAGCTTCTTCCTAATGTCAGGACAAAGGAGTCCCTGCCCATCTTCCGAAAACGTCTGAAAACCTAACTCTCTTTAAAGAGTATTTTAAATAAATCCCACGTCTGCGTAAATGTACTTCCTACGATGGTGGTATGTTGTTGTCTCACCTAGCTTTCTTAAGATGAATGCACTAATGTAAGTCGCTCTGGATAAGACCGACTGCTTAATGACTAAAATGTCATATATAAGCACTTATCTAAAATCACGGCCAAGTCCCAAATGTTCAGAATACTTTTCTTTTTAATCCAAGGTGAAAAGTTGAGAAATCTTACAGTTCGGTGTTTAAATGAACTTTGTTATTTCAATGAGTTTAAAGCAAGCCCTGTCCACCCACTCACCTCCTGTCATCATGATACACCAGTACTCAATGCATGCTGATGATAATCCTACCTTTTAGAGTGTGTGTTTGGAACTCAAATGTATGCTAAGTAGTTAGCTGCTAAGCAACAAAAAATTACCCATGCAACCTTCCTTTACTAGAGTTGAGCATTGTATTACAGAACAACTTCTCAATGCCAAAGTTCTCAGTAGCCTACCATCATTCTGTTTTACATTAAAATAAACCGGCTAAATACAACTTCCATGTACAATCAGCTGAAAAATGGAATATACTCTGGCAAACTAATCGAATATATTCAGAAAAATAAACTGGATGCTTCAATGACTGAGAGTAGCAGTAGATTTACCTTTATGGCGGAGGTGGCTATCTGTAAGTGGTGAAGTCTTCTCAAGGTGCTCTCGCGGTCTGTGAAATAAGAGGCAGCCAACTGATGCAATACTTCCAGGGAGACCACCGAGCTGTTTCCCTGTCCCTCCGATTTCTTACTGAGCTTCTGCTTATCCAGGAAGATTATCAACGATTCTTCTCCTGTAGAAAGATAGAATAGAAGAGAATAGAATATAAGAAAATAATAACTAAAAAAATCCCAGAGGGATCTTCAGTCAAAGATACACATGGTCCTTAATAATAAAGAACAACTAGAAAAACTGGGTCACTTTAATCATAATGACACCAAAAGTTTTAATACTTGTTGAGAGTAATGGGTGACATTATCCTCCATGAAAGGAATTAACGGAGGCATTCAGACAAAAGCTCATAGACTGCAGACAGATTAAAAAGGTCTATCTCTGTCTTGTATGAAAACCCAGATTTTTCAAAAGAACACTACAGTATTCACATGATTCTGCTAGACCAGACAGCGTGCTGCTCTCTTCTACCTTGAGACTATTTGATACCATCAGCACCCAGCATAAGAATGTGTGCATTGTTATTTGAATTATCTCATTAGCATGCAGCATATAGTCCCATCCCTTTTGTTTGAGCCGGTAATTATGAGACCTCACTATGGCTTTGCCACTGCATTCATCTTTCTTGTCACTTCGACTCTGTAACTTCGGTTCATATATCCACCATTAAGTGACATCATAATTAGTGCCTACATCTCATCAGACATAGTAGTATTCTGGTTGATGTCATAGCAAATGTTTAGAGACCACAACCAGGACTGTTTGTCCAATTATTTATTTAGATGCTAGGGGGAGAATACCATTCAATATCTCAAACTATGTGTATAACTGTTGAAATGTCCTCATGTATTCAGCATTACCTCAATCATGGATTGCCAAATCAACAAAGCAGACTTCGTCCATACTAACAGAGAATGACTGACTATATGTATTAACATTACCTTATTTTGAATAGTAAAAATTACGTTTTGTTCGAGGTGAATTACTGGTATGGTGATACCTAGTCAGTTGCACAAGTGAATGTAATCAACCAAAATGCGTCTTCTGCCTTAACCGAGGTCATTGGCGCACGGGGAGCAGTCGTTATTTGGGGTTAACTGCCTTGCCTTAGGGCAAAACGGCAGATATTTCCACCTTGCATTCTCAGGGATTTGAACCATCGACCTTTCGGTTACTGGCCCAATGCTCTTAACCACTAGCCTACCTGCCACCTTGTCAACAGTGATATCATGAGCACACTAAATATATACAGTATGAGTAACCTTTGGTTTGTTTTAAGGCAGTCAACATGATCAATATCTGAGGAGATGAAGCAATTTTGAGAACAGACCAAGATGAGTAACAACATCCCTTAGCCACGAAGCCTAGAGCTAAGTGCCACTGAGTAGGTGTATGTGAAGTTGCTTACCTCCTAGCGTAGCAGACACCAAAAAGTGAGTTCCATATTTCTTGATCAAGTTCTCGTGGATCTGCTGCAGACTTGGTCTTCGACCCAGCAACCTCAGGTTGCGTAGAAATTCCGGCGCCAGCGGCAAGGGGGCCTTAAAAACGTCCCTCTTCTCTGTAGCCAAGCTGTTCACTTTCCAATGGCTGAATTCCCTGCAACAACAAACTGATCTCAATTCAAGTGAACCATGTGACAATTTTGAAATCCATCTGATTCATGGTGCTTGGGTCATTTCATTGGTTGATACTTGCATATGTGAGAGAATGCAAATATCAGCAGAAAATATAGCTTGATGTGCATACAATTGCAACAAAACAAAGGATTCAATTTGAATATTAATATACTGTATGTATGTATTCCTTAGAACAAAAAAAAAGAACAAATCATCGAGAACAACATGCTATTTTGAAAAATGTAACTTGACATTCCACATTGACATTTATTTTGCAGTCAGCATTACAATATTGTCACGACCAACTGTTACAGGAGTTGTGAATGATTGGGATAGACATCAAATACATTTGAACTTATATGACAACATACAGTACACAACATGGAAAGTGATTGATGATCATTATTCAATGAAAGAAAGTATAGAAAACATATTTAGTCCAAACTTACACTATATAGGCATTATGCCACACGAATAACATTGGTAGTACCATACCATGTAAGTATAATGATTAAAGTGTAATTGCATACTGTTATTTAGTATAAAGTATGACTTGCACAATTTCAAAGACTTTAAGAACAAAGTTACAGTCCAATTTCTGTAATAATGTGCAGGAGTGTACACAAACATTCCTTTCAAAACATGAAAAAGTGTTAGGCCTACTGCTGCTAGGTAGCGTTGGAGCTCATTCACCATAATCACTCAGCCTTTAAGACCCGTCAAATTGCCATCATCGTCAATCATATCAGACTGACATGTTAGTCTCGCTGTCGACATCAACCTGTTTTATTTCGCACTTTGTTTTTGGAACCTGTTTTTTACTTTTCTCCTTGTGCCACAGATTATTGAACCTGACTCCTGCCTCCGCTTCACGTCTGCACTCACCATCAAATCTTGCTTTCCACTACGACCTCCCTTTTGGACTCACCACTGACACTAGGACATTAACGGTACCAAACACTTGCCTACCTGGATCTTTACCCTTCGGTAACACTGGACTTGCTTCCCTACTATTGGAAACCTGGACTAATTGAACATTGTAATATAAACCTGTTAAACCTTCTCCTTGCTTGTGATAGTGTACGCATTTGGGTTAAATCCAGTTAAATCGTGACAAAAATCCCAAACGTCTTGGAAATAGATTTTGAGGGATAAGAAGCAATAGCAAACCAATGTTGATGTGGATAATCCAAGCATCCAAAGTAAACCTCAAATCTTACATCACATTATCATACAAGTATTTGCCTATAATATGTAAAGACCATGAGATGCTGCCCATTAGCTTTGGATTATGTTGTCTTGACTGAAAAATTTGTGACGACAGAGGTTGTGAACATTACTTTTTTTCCATGAGGATTACGAAGCGTTAATTGTAACAGTGTTGGCTGACCGTTCCAGTGCTAATGATGATAGATGCTCTTAATTACAGGGCTTTAGAACAAGCTGATTGCACCTGCAGCTCTGCAGGATTGCAGGGAATTGTTTAAGCCAAAACTCTCTAACTCTACTCCATTCCCCATTTGTTAAGAGCAGAGCACCTGGATATTGGAACTATTTTAACATTCTACTACCTTCCTCTATGAAACACAATTTTTCCAAGGCTTTTACTTGTACATGTTTGTAAAACGTGTTACCATATTATTAGAATGATTCATTCTATTTCTATGAGTGTTACCCCTAAATGAATTTCAGTTACAAAATGGAAGATCATGTTTAATAGGTTAATAACATTGTCTAGATCTGTCTCTGTATGTATCAAATCTTGATGATGAGGCTGTATTCCACACCTGCATTGAGGATGTGATTTAGAACTTTATTAATAAATGATGCTTGCATGAGGCAGCCTAAATCCATGCAAGACATCACCGACTGTACAGTGTATATGGATTTAACCTGGATCACAACACCTGCTTTCAGTATATATTAGCCTTTATTTAACCTTTATTTTAACAGGGAGTCCACACTGAGACCGAGGGTCTCATTTCCAGGTGAGCCCTGTGTACACAATACACATCAGTTACAATATAAATATTTAAAAGTACACATGCATACAGTGCATTCGGAAAGTATTCAGACCCCTTTACTTTTTCCACATTTTGTTACGGTACAGCCTTGTTCTAAAATTTATTAAATAGTTTTTTTTCTCATCAATCTACACACAATACCCCATAATGAAGAAGCAAATGTATAAAAAACAACAACTGAAATATTACATTTACATAAGTATTCAGACCCTTCACTCAGTATTATTTAAATGTTATTTTTTACTCAGTACTTTGTTGAAGCACCTTTGGCAGCGATTACAGCCTCGAGTCTTCTTGGGTATGACAGTACAAGCTTGGCACACCTGTATTTGGGGAGTTTCTCATATTCTTCTCTGCAGATTCTCTCAAGCTCATTCAGATTGGATGGGGAGCGTTGCTGCACAGCTATTTTCAGGTCTCTCCAGAGATGTTCGATCGGGTTCAAGTCCGGGCTCTGGCTGGGCCACTCAAGGACATTCAGAGACTTGTCCTGAAGCCACTCCTGTGTTGTCTTGGCTGTGTGCTTAGGGTCGTTGTCCTGTACGAAGGTGAACTTTCGCTCCAATCTGAAGTCCTGAGTGCTCTGGAGCAGGTTTTCATCAAGGATCTCTCTGCACTTTGCTCCGTTCATCTTTCCCTCGATCCTGACTAGTCTCCCAGTCCCTGCCGCTGAAAAACATCCCCACAGCATGATGCTGCCACCACCATGCTTCAAAGTAGGGATGGTGCCAGGTTTCCTCCAGACGTGACACTTGGCATTCAGGCCAAAGAGATCAATCTTGGTTTCATCAGACCAGAGAATCTTGTTTATCATGGACTGAGAGTCCTTTAGGTGCCTTTTGGCAAACTCCAAGCGGGCTGTCATGTGCCTTTTACTGAGGAGTGGCTTCCGTCTGGCCACTCTACCATAAAGGCCTGATTGGTGGAGTGCTGCAGATATGGTTGTCCTTCTGGAAGGTTCTCCCATCTCCACAGAGGAACTCTGGAGCTCTGTCAGAGTGACCATTGGGTTCTTGGTCACCTCCCTGACCAAGGCCCTTCTCCACCGATTTCTCAGTTTGGCCAGGCAGCCAGCTCTAGGAAGAGTCTTGGTGGTTCCAAACTTCTTCCATTTAAGAATGATGGTGGCCACTGTGTTCTTGGGGACCTTCAATGCTGCAGAAATCTTTTGGTCCCCTTCCCCAGATCTGTGCCTCGACACAATCCTGGCTCGGAGCTCAACGGACAATTCCTTCGACCTCATGGCTTGGTTTTTGCTCTGACATGCACTGTCAACTGTGGGACATTATATAGACAGGTGTGTGCCTTTCCAAATCATGTCCAATCAATTGAATTTACTAGTTGGACTCCAATCAAGTTGTAGAAACATATCAAGGATGATCAATAGAAACAGGATGCACCTGAGCTCAATTTTGAGTCTCATAGCAAAGGGTCTGAATACTTATGTAAAAAAGGACTCTCAGACCACACATTTGTTTACATCCCTGTTAGTGAGCATTTACCCTTTGCCAAGATAATCCATCCACCTGACAGGTGTGGCATATCAAGAAGCTGATTAAACAGCATGATCATTACACAGGTGCACCTTGTGCTGAGAAGTATTTCTGTCTGTAATAATGCCCTTTTTGTAGGGAAAAAATCATTCTGATTGGCTGGGCCTGGCTCCCCAGTGGGTGGACGTGGCTCCCAAGTGGGTTGGTCTATGCCCTCCCAGGCCCATCTATGGCTGTACCCCTGCCCAGTGATGTGAAATCCATAGATTTAGGGCCTAATTTATTTATTTCAATTGACTGATTTCCTTCTTTGAACTGTAACTCAGTAAAATCTTTGAAATTGTTGCATGTTTTGTTTATATTTTTGTTCAGTATAAAATACACAAAAAACTAAAACACAATCATAAACAATATTTAGATTTCTCTGCTACTAGGTCCTTAATCAACACTCTAAACTGCCTGAGCGGCACCAGAACATCCAATATGAATGAGATCTGCAAATTGTTCCAGAAGTGGGGTTATTTTCTTTCTTTTTCAGATTTACCTAATTCGGTGGAGACCCGAAGAACCTCGAGAGTTAACCAACCCTGTGAATGTGTTTTGTAACTTGTTTTGAACTTCAACATCGAAGTTAGGTAAGTCGGAAGCTTGGTAGTAGAGCTTTGTAAACAAAGAGCGAGTAATGTAGTGACCTAAGGGACATTAATGAGGACCAGCCAACCTTTTGAAACAGGATGCAGTGATTTGTGTTAAAACTGTCACCTGTGATAAAGCGAAGGGCACTATGGTAGACGGCATCCAAAGGTTTAAGAGTAGTGGCTACTTTATTCTGATAAATGGTGTCCCCATAGTCAAGAACTGACAGGAAAGTTGACTGTACAATCTGCATCCTGCTGTTTAGGGAGAGGCATGATCTATTGTCAATCCAAAAGCACAGATAGTTATATGCAGGAACCTGCTCGATGAAAGAACCATCCAATGCATAAATATGTAAGCCATCTGAAATATTTCTACAAGAATTAGAAAACAGCATACATTTAGTTTTTTCTGCATTAAGTACCAATTTTAAATCAACAAGTACTTCTGCAAAGCAACAACATCAGATTGCAGCTCCTACCTAGCCTGGTCAGCTGTAGTGGCAATAGCGTACATAACAGTGTCATATGCATACAGATGAATGTTACAGATTTTTGCAGATAGGCCAATATTATTTATATAAATAATTAAGAGGACAGGTCCCAAAATCAACCCCTGCGGGACACCTTTAGTAATATCGAGGTAATTTGACTTAAAACCATCAGAAAGCACACATTGTGTCCTGTCTGACAGATGCCTGGTCGATGCAAGATGCCTGGTCGATGCCCATTACAGACAACCTTTGAATGAGTAGGGGATGGTCGACAGTATCCAAGATCGATAAATATGGCAGCACAGTTATTCCTATGATCTAACCAATTTAATA